TGGTAGGAGTCGGTGTCCAAACTGCACAAAACTGTTGATGACTGAGAGAAGTCCCTAAAAACATAAGCGATCCTCTTCTAATCAATGAATATCTTTTTGCAATCTAACCCAGTCTGCTTTCAAAAACGAACTTTGACGAAAAAAAAAAAAAGGGAAAGAAAAGAAAGAAAGAAACGAAAAACAGTAGACACAACAGACCGGATGAGATTGAAGATAAAAAGATGAAAATAATGCAACAAAATAATTAAAATAGCTTTACTTACTTAGATCCGGGTTTTGCCATGTTCTTGAAAATTCTCATTGCGCATGCCCTGGCCTCCCACTCACTATTAATCTCAGACTCCGCCGCCCCAAAATCGTCAACCGTCCTCGAAATCGTTGATAGCCCTGATGACCTTACGTAGCTCACCAGCCTCTTCACATTCCATGCATTAGCCCTACTCTGCATGCTCAGCTTCTTCAGCCTGTCCATGTTGATCCTCCTCGACCCACCAGTCGCTGATGTCTTGGACGATGTTCTGGAGAGGCGGCCGCTCTCAGAAAACCTTGCTGGTAAAGATTTACTTGGCCTTAGTGCCTTCCGCGGCAGTTCCCTCTCGGCTTCATCAAGAGGAGGACCGGAGAGAGTGTCGAGAATATAGTGGTGGAATACGCTTTCTTTCATCCGATCGAAGAAGGTGGCAACGTGAAAGGAGGAAGCCAGAACTTTTACCAGTACAATCTTTAGAAGCCATATGGTGGCTCCAATTAGGATGGCTATAAGGCTACGGATTATCTTCTTTACGACAGGTTTTTGCTTGTGAACATCAGGGAACATGACCATCCAACACACAAGAACAAGGCCTAACCACGCACAGTTCTGAAAGCTCTTACGAAGGCCATAGACGAAGTACAAGACCTTCTCACGTAGCATGAAGTTGCGCTCGATGAGGAAGACGAGAAAGCACACCACCCAAGCGGAGACAAGGCGGCCGCAGAAAGGGACCATGATCATCAGGCACCATTTCCAGATCTCCAAGCCCCAAACCACTTTATCTTTTAGAGAGCTTAAGATTAATGAACATATGAGGCATGTCATGATGATGAGAAACAAAATGAACTCTACCAAAGCCCTTTTGTTGATCTTTCTTTTCTTCCTTCTGCGATTATCTCGTTCAGTATCATCTTCATCTTCTTCGAACCAATCATGGTCTTCATCATCAGAAGAGGTTTCTTGGTGAGGATATAAGCAGGGTTGGAGTTCTTCGGATTCAGGGATGGTTTTGCGAGGGGTAGGACAGTTGGTTTCTGCGAAACGGGCTCTGGGTTTGGAGAAGTTGAGGCGTTTAAGTGTTTTGGTTCTTGCTGCTCCCCAAGCAGCCTGTGACATTGGCTGATCTCTGGTGTCTAGTGGAGGTTGTGAGTCCAGTAGTTTTGGGTTTGGTTGGTCGATGACGAGGACTACCTGATCGGCGTTTAGCTTTTTTTGGTTGTTTTGAGGATGCATGTTTTTCTCCATTTGGAGAGAACAGAGCAGGAGTGGGGCGGGAAAGGTGGGGAAATGTGTGAACATATATGAGCATATTTGCTATGTGTGAACATATATGAGCATATTTGCTATGGCATGATATGTTTGCTTGGGCAATAAGATTAAAAGTTGAATTATGACGAATTTATCTTTTTAATAGACCTTAATATGTATCGGGGAAGGTGGGTAAATGTGTGAACATAAATGAGTATTTGCCATGGCATGATATTTTTGCTTGGGCAATAAAATTAAAAGTTCAAATATAAGGAATTTATTTTTAATAGACTTTAATATGTATAAATTCTTTTGAAGTAATTATATACATATTTTTAGATGGTACAACAAAAAATAACTTTCTCTCATTTATTTAATTTTTTTATAAAATTATCTTTATAAAATTAGTAGAGTATATATATTAATTAATTTTGAACGATCAAAAAAAATATATATATTAATTAATTTTGTATCTATGATGATATCAATTGATATTAAAAAAAAAAAACCTATTTAAAATTAAAAGAACCATCAACCATCTCTCAAATTTGTTTTTTCTTTGAATTTTTTCTCATTAAAAGTGCCCTTATTCCCATTAACAGTTAGGGCAAGCCATACCTTTTCTCCATTACCAATTAAAAGAACATACTTTATATATATATATATATATATATATATTACCTTTTGTTTTCAAATGTCATGATTTATTTTTTCCTTTTGGAAACATATAATAATGTACAAGCTAAGAGAATAATAAGGTATGCTGATAAAAAAATAATAAAATATAATTTAATCTAGATAATTAACATATTGAGTTTCGTATTTTGTAGTCATGATTGCATTAGTTTTAGTTTGAGATTCAAAATTAGAAAAATCTTAATTGCATTAGATTACAAACATGGACTATTAAATTTGGTTAGTTCATATGATTTGCAATTCAATATAATTAAGGTTAACTAATTTTTTTCATTAAAAAAATTTGTAAAACATTTTTCTCGAGAACTTGTCAATAATTAATTTGAGTTTCATTTAATATAATTGTAGTTTTTTTTGTTTTAATTTTAATTTTTTAAAATTTTCAATTCTAAAAAAAAGAAACTCATAGTTTTCCATATTTTTGTAATATATTATTACAATTATTAGAAATAAAAACAAAAATAATTTTATTGTTATCAAACAAGTTTATATTTTAAGGTTTCATTTAGTGTGGTTGTGGTTTTAAAAAATATAAAAATCTTAAAATAAAATTAAGAATTTCTATAAATTAACTAAGTTTAGAGATTTGGGTATTTTTTTAAAAATTTTATACCCAATAAGTTGGCAATTTTAACTTTTAATTTTTGTTTTAAATTTTTAATTTTTAATTTTTGAATTTTTAAAACTAAAACCAAAAACTACAATAATACTAAGCAGAGCCTTAGTTATCAATATTAAAATTTATATTAAAGAAATTATTAGTTTTTTGTTTTGATTTTTAACTTTTAATAATTATAAAATTTATAAAAAATCAAAACTAAAAATTGAAAATACCAACCATATTCAAACCGTAAAGAATCAGCAATGCAAAAATATACATTTGTACAACAATGTTTGCAATTATCATGTGCCTATTTTTCATTTTACTTTAGCTAGAGCATTATGTCAAGGAAATTAGCTATTTGACCCACCATCCACTAGATGGAAGTGATTGTTAGCTGTAATGGTCAATCTTTAATCTTTGACGTGTCGACCAAAATCATTATCATTCGTGCATCTGGCTTCAACCAAAGAATAGATATTTGCCAGCTAAACCTACTTTACTAAAAGTTTTTTTTTTTTTAGATATATTACTAAAAGGTTTTGATCTAAAAATATATTTAAGAAGTCTCAGAATTGCATTTTACACCTACTCCCCACTCCCTGTATTAGAATAATAGAGGAATTTTACTCCTTTTTTTTTTTCAAATTAATAATTTGTAGAAATTTTATATATGTTGTTAACTATATCACCCTAGAGAAAAAAAAAATAAAGAAAAAATTTTTTTTAGTAATTAGATGAATAATTGATTTAAAGGAAAAATATTGTATTTGTTTACTCTAAAAAAATGAAAAACGAACAATTAATTGAAGACAAATTTTAAGTAAAAAAACTATTAATTTAGGACAATGAGAGTGGGTGTGGTTTGTGTCACTATAAAAAGTGTTAATGTCATTAATTTTTTAATTTTTTTTCTTAAATAATGTCTAAAAATATTAGTTTATTGATAGATTTTAATTTGTTAACTAATAAATATCAATTGTTTTATTAATTATTAATTAATAATTACAGTTATCAATTATTTTTATCAATCAAAATAAACAAAATCAATATTTTTAAAGATATATTATACAATTTTTGATAGCCTTAATACTTTGAGTAGTGGTCATAACCATGCGCAATAGGAGTATTATACTACTTTCTGTCCTAAATTAATGAACTGTCTAATTGACTTTTTAAACTTAATTTTAGACAATATTTTTATATATTATATGAACTATAAGTAAAATTTTCTATTAAATAAAACTATTCAATAAGAAAAAAAAGTATGAAGTTAAATATTTTTACAATTATAAATTATATTTTATATAAAAGCATTATTTAAAGTTACATGAAAAAAAGTCCATGAAACAGTCAGTTTAAGATGAAGTACTAAAAGCTTACTAAAAGCTTTTTTCTTAAGATGGATTTAGAAATAGACTTGAGTTAGTTTGAGAGCCTGTTTGATACAA